GTAATAGTTGACCTTTTTTTTTTGCAGGAAATAGAAAGGTAAACAATACTTTTTGCTGATTATTTGTCATTTAATCAGGGGACACGAGGGGAAAAGGCTGCATGAACAGAATCTCTGGTCTGGTGTAAAGAGCAAAAGGTTCGGTAGACATGGGTGAGTTACACCGAGGAAGCACCACGGTGGGGGAAAGGAGATTCGTCAGAGAAAACGCCCTTGTTAATTGGAAGTGAAGTGTAGAAATGGAATGCCACAGCATTTGTCATATTGGGCTTTCAAGATGTGTCACAAATATTCATTTGCACAGTTAGGCAAGTAAGTTGTTATTTCCTCGGCCGTACATGTCACTTCGACAGAAGAGTTCTGCTTGCTCAGCACTGCTGCAGGGTCACTGTCATCGAAATTAGGGTTTGGGTTGGATAAGCTTGGAATGGGACTTGAGGAATCCAGGTAGCTAGGGCACAGGCAGTGCAGGTGCTGAGGGCTGGCAGGTATGATCTAGTATCTAGGGAACATCCCCTGCCTTTTTGGGTGGCAGCAGGAGGCCTGGCAGCATGCCCTAAAGCTCTTAAAACAGCACTGGAAATTTGTTTTTGCCTCTTAAAGCTTGGCATTTGGAGTAAATAATGACCTGAGCACCATTCAAGACAGGTATCACACTACTATGAGTGAAATTAATTTTTGTTCAGGAGTTCTGCACGAAGTCACTGTATTATTTGAATCCCAGGTTTTCCATCGAAGCGTAAATTGGAAGGGATTTAAGGCATTCACAGGCTTTCTGCTGGCCCTCAGCCCAGTATTTTGAGGATGAAGAAATAAATTGGAACTAACAAGAGTAGCTTTGTGGTGTTTTTTTTTTTAATAGATAGATAGATAGATAGATAGATAGATAAAGGGACCTATGTCTTATTCGCACCCAATTTTTTGTTTTGGAATGAATTCATCCAGTTGAAGAAAGGCAGGACATTCCTGGTAATTTGTATTATTTTGTCCAGTGTATTATTCCAGGCCAGGTTTTCTATAGTATTGATTGCTGTGTCTGGTTTGGTTTTGAAATGTTTCGAACCATAAGACTTTGATCAGTCTTCTGGGACTACTGTTTCATCTAACAGATTTCACAGACTGGAAGGGTTTTGTGATAATCCTAGTAGCTCTCTACTTCGGCTTTGTGATAAGTAACTCTGTTATTCTTTAAAATACGTGGGTGATCCGTGGACATTTTTAAAAGATTCCCTTCCAAATTGGAAGACAAAGAGAATTTTAAGCAATAGGGAGGATAGATAGCGGCAGAGAAAAAAAATTCTCAAGCTGGATATACTTTCTGTTACATTTCTGAAGTCTGCAACGTTCTTTTCAGTGACACACAATAGTGATGGATACAACTCTGGAGAGACTCAAATTCACCTTTCGGGGAACCTAAGCTGGCTGGTTATTTCGTTGTTAAGGTATTGACAGTGACATTTCTAAAAAGCAAGACTGAAGAACTGTCCGCAGGGCAAATATGTGAATCTCTCCATGATTTCAGCCTTCTCCTGCTACTTGTTGTCGTGTTTGTATCCCTTGTTTTGGACTTCTGTCACAGGTTGCCAAGGCCGGCGTTGTACATCTGGGTCTGGGCGGGCTGAGACCTGTGGCAGTGAATAACGAGTCAATCAGCACTCGGCCGGGGGAAGGCAGAGCCGTCCTCTCGCTGCCTGGAGTGTGATCCTTCCTCCTTCCCCTTGGCTTTCCAAAATAAGGACAGAAGTGGCTGAAATTCAGAACGCTGGCAAAGGAATATGGCTGTGATATTTCCCTGCACGCTGTAGCTTGTTTAAATTTAAAACATTTTTTTTTGGTACTTTTTTTTCCCTTCTTTTTTTAAATGGTATTCTTTAAGGTCATGACTGTTACTGCTTCAGGAGAGCCTGTATGTGATGCATGCGAGACTCTAGGTATCAGTAGTTACTTTGGACATCCCCAGGTGGATCTTACTGTCCCTGAAGGACCGTACTTGAGGCTGTCAGAGGCACGTTTGGTTCACCTCTCCCCCTCTAATTGATTTGACACAGCCTCATCATGCACATGGCTGCGCAGCCGATTTTCTGTCCGCAGCACGCGTTTCACAGCTGCTTTGGTTGCTTGGGCTCTTTGCCTTCTGAATTTTTCTTCGCTCGCAGTCATGAATCTAATATCACGATGCAGCCGTGAATGTTTCATCAAATGTAATGCTTAATATTCTGTAAGCCAATAACTCGGCAATGGTCTTAGCTAGAAAAAAGTTTCTGACAGCGGTTTATGACTGATCTCTCAGGAAAAGGGATAGTGCTTTAGCTGTACTCCGGGCTTGGTAAATGGCACATAAATGCTATGAATGCACTTGATTTCTTATTCCCTCCTTTAATCTGTCTAGCTTTTTAGCTATGACAATAGCTCAACTGTCCAGAAGATACATAACCTAATAAAATAAGTTTGTCTGCTCATATGTGCTGTCTAATTATAACTGCCCAACTATGTGTCCTAGGTCTTTTGATGCTAAAAGTGGTATTATTTGATTTGGAGAATGCAGAACATATGTTCTGGAGAAGGATGACCTGATTAATATCCCAGACGAATGACCACAATGATATCTAAGATAGGCATGAGCTTGTGCAGGAATGTAATGTTTATTCAGAGCCTATCGGCTGGATGAGTTGTGCTGCTGATCGTTCCAGCTGATGGTGCTTTTTGTCTCTCTGTTGATCTGGCTGAGAAAATTTTATGGCTTCCAGAAGCTTCTTCTCACTTCTCATCCCAAAAGGCTTCTGATGTGCACGGGGAGGATATTTAGTCCCTATTGTTACTCTGTAGGTTGTTTGACTGCATAATTTGTTAACACGCATGTACCCTAAAATACATTAATATCCTTTTGTGGCTTCTCAGTCTTTAATATAAAACTTGTCAGTGCTTAGTATAAAACACAAAGTCCATCCTGTTATACCACTGCAGTAACAAAAGATTGAAACTTTTTGAACTAGTCTTCTAGTTCTTCCAATAAAGTAGGGTGACAGGAAAAACATAGTGGGTGACTGTTTTACCTGTCAGGAATTTAAAAGAGGGTTTCTTGCGAAATACTGCCTTGGTCCCATGAAAAGAAAAGTGTGTAGAAAGAAGAGACTGCCCATATGTTGTGCTGTTTTCAAATACTGTTCTAGGAAAGTACTTGCTAAAAGAGCAGGGAGAAGCTAGATGTCCTGTCAAGAAACCTGAGATTTAGGAATTAGTCAGAGGATCAGTTTGTCGGCTAAGCATTAAGATCTGTTTCCTAGTTTGCTTTAGTCTGGTGCAATTTACTTGTCATGAACCTTGACTAACAGGAGTGTGGACCTCAGCCCTTTCTGTGTGCTGTGGTAACTGCAGCACACAGCTGTCCCTGGCAATTAATAACTCCTTGGTGGATGGCTCCATGCAGTAACCCCCAGGGCATCATTAAAACTCTTCCACAAAAATTACTTCGATGCCTGTAACATATAATTAGGCTTTAGAAATGCACGGCTGTGTTTCTTATTGTTACAAAGTAGATTTTTCGAATTAGACCCAAGAAACTGTTAAATGAGCATTTATTTTTCCTTAGGAGCACGCGGCGCGAAGTTCATTTGAATTAATTGTCCTATGGCTACCTCGTATTTGATGATGAGGCTTTTAAAAATAAGAAGTCCTGCATTTTTATTTTGGCCACGATTAATGTGTTATTTTGCTGCGTTGTAGGAAAAGAGCTATTCAGCGTGGATTCGGGAATTCATGCTTCCATGCACAGGTGTTATCAGCTCCTACATCTAGTCTGCACTGCTGAGATACCGTCTGATGATCACCTGGTTGTATCCTAACTCTTCTGGCAGCTCTGTGCCTCGTGTCCCTGGCTGGTAGGAAAGTCAGAAGCACTAATAGTTGTCTTAACTTTGCTCTTGTTGTCCGAGGAGTTGTTAAAGGTCTGAAAGACGCCACAAGCTGTCATCGAAAGGCTGAGCTCTGTCACTGAATACCTCCTTCTTTTCAGGGAGGGCCAAATTAGCCCCTATTGATGTGTAAAATGAACATGGGAGAAGTTACTCCAATCTTCTGCCAACGCACTGGCAAAACTTTTTCCCAGCCTGTCTTTCAAGACCAAAGGTGGAACAAATCCTGCTTGAACATCTGTATTTAATCTTCAGTCTCAGGACCTAAACTTGTGCCAGTTGAATGTCCCTGGCCTGCTGCTCTTTGTTAGTCTGATCCTGATGGAAAAATACTTACTCACAAGATTTTTCGTGCCCGGTGAGATTGCTGACATAGGGAGGAGATCAAATTGGTGATAAGCTAAGTCAAGAGCATCCTATAATTGTTAAACACCAAAAGCCGCAGCACCTAGAGAAATCACCTCAAGTGGGATGTTTTACTGGCTGTGCATAAGCTCAGTTCCTGGGCTTTTGAAGCTAGACTTGGAAGTATTGAGAGTGTGTGCCGGTGTTGGGAAATGAAGTTTTAATTTGATTTTTTTGTTTTTAATTCAAAAACTGTACCTCTGAGATAGCTCTACTGAGTGTGAGCAGTTGCTCTGGGGTTGGTGGTGGAGAAGACACTCTCCACTGTACCTGCTGGTGTTTGCTGTGCCAGACTAAGGCACGGGCACAAATGTTATGTGCCCTTTCTATGCGGAGTTCAGAGAGCATCTAAACAAAGTTTTAAAATAAGGACTAAGGTGTAACCTTACTTACTGTCTTGCTTTTTTGTATGTTTTCAGCTCTCGGGTTATTTTATCAAGTTTTCCATATATCACATAAGCTTTTGAGACAGTGAATTTTTCAGTATTGAGGAACAGGCGATATTCTGAGCGCTTGAATTTCCAACTGCGTATTTGGTTTTGTGATAAAGGTTGGAAAGTACATGTATGTGGTACATGTTGAAGCTCCGAGCATGTAAAATAAGTCAATATTAGATCTAACGAAATCTATGTTTTTCTTGGACAGTGCATCATGTTATCTGACCTGTTGTGATTCTCCTTGCAGAGGGAGAGGGGAAGACAATTCAAGGAAGTAAAGCGGACTCCTTAAGGAAAACAGCTTCTCCTTCTGAATTACCAAACAGAAATAAACAGGATGGCTCACCTGGAAAATGCGAAGAAATGTGGGGGTCTCTTCCACAGCAGATGCCAAGTGAGAAGGAGGTAACGAGTTAACATTTGTCGGTGCGGACAAGCACCACATTCAAACAGATGAAAATATGGGGAGATGCACTGTCCAAATGTTAGAGGCCAGTGGTATTTAATCCCACCCGAGGCAAATATTTAAATACTGCCTAAGTGTGTAATGCTTACGGAGGCACCTGCAGGGATCGGGTTTGGCAGTGGCATTTGCGCTAGTGCAGAACTGCCATAATCTGACTAATAAATAAGGCGCCCTGCGTGGGCCCTTGTAATACTTTCGCTGAAGGCTGCAGCTGGCAGTAGAGGTTGGCAAAAAGGAAAAAATCTTGAGAGTGTGGATGCCAGCATGCACAGATTTATTCGGTTTCTTGAGGATTTTAGCAGGTACCTGAGTTACGGAAGCTGGATTGCATTAGCTACCTAAAGTGAACAGTAGGCAGGCCAGAGGCATTTTTAATCTTCTGAAACATGTGAGATTAGAGATTTAATGTGTAGGGACAGGAGAACAACAGACATCTGGAGGGAGTGAGATGGAAATCCGAGTCCACTAAAGAACTTCTGCCCTCTTGCCTGAATGACTAGTAACTGCGCTGCGGTCTAGCCTCTACTCAGAAATGGCCTTCATTGAACTTTTTATTAAAAAACAAGTAGCAGATACAGAGAGCAACACACTTAAGTGCCTTCAAATGATGGGCCTGCCAAGCCTCAGTCAAAGAGCAGGAGCTGTCATTTTCCTCCCTCCTAGCGCACGTCTTTGCCGTGGAATCAAACAAGGCTTTTAAAACGATCACATTCTGTCAGTTGATCGTGTAATAATAATGACAAGAATATTTTTGCAATTTTTCTCATGAGGAATCCGGCTGCCTCATTGGGATAGACTTCCTTTGGGTCTCTTACTTTAGCCACTTCGAGCTGACTTTCTCTCACATAAAGCAACGTGTCACTTCCATTATACTTTATTTAATAGAACATCTGAATACTTGTCTGTGTCACTCTAGCAAAAAAATTTCAGGCGTGGCTGCCCATTTTTGTCACGTTAGCAGTTTAAGGAATAAATACAGTAATAGCAGAATGCATCAGAAAAATTGCTGGTGTAGTAGCAGAAGGAGGCTGCAATGCAGTAAGTTGGCCACTGTGGGAAAAAAAAAAAGGAGGAAAAACTGCTATTGAAAACAATGCTTCTGTTCTAAATCATAGAATGCTGGTTTCTGGACATTTTATGACTACTTGTGCTGTTCCAATTGATTCAGTCTGGTCCTGGGTAGGCTCTCACAGGGTTACCTGTGTACATTCTGTTTTCAGGAGTGTTGCATTCATGTATAAAAAAAAATAAATCTAAATACATTGTTAAGGGTCTGTAGGAGTAAATCATTAGGAGCTTTGACTGTGATTTTGGTTCTGTTTCATGCATCTAAGTATTTCTGCCTGTCTTATCTACAGACAAGGATGAATGAAAGCTGGGCAGCTGGTGGCTCTGGTGGAAACGATCTCAGTCTGTCTGAAAGAGTGAAGGTGAGGTTTCCTTTGATTTTCTTCAAAGTGGAGATTCCGAGCAGAACCCGACTGATGTTTGCTGGAGTCATTTACAACGTACTTGCAGTTTGTTGCTGTAGCTCTTTCCCGTCTGTGGGAAGGGAGGATGACAGCATCACCATCCCATTTTTTCTTTTCTCCCCAAATGTTAATGAGTATGTACTTTTAAAGTGCAAAGGTTACAGAAGTGTTGATGGGAATGGTGTCAAATCAGGTTGGAAAAAATTATCTCAGAGCATCTCTAATTGCTTCATGGAAACACAGAAGACATGTAGTAAATCCTCCATGGTAACCCTGCTTGGATGTAGGCTGGGAAAGGGCTTTCGCTCTCTCCCTGTGCATCTATTGCAGAGTGCTACCTGAAGTAAGAAATGTCTTTTCTTGTGGCGTGTTTTAGATAGTTTAGACTGTATTCCAGAGACATCAGCCTGAAAAAAAACAATAGTGCAATGTCCCAGACGAAACACTGAAAATGTAGTAATTCTTAGCTTTCCTGTTTCCACGTGGTTCACCGTTAGCATCAAACCAGAAGGATTGAGCTCGACTTGGCCTGCAACATATATGGTCTCCGTGCCATATGCAGGGAGCTTGCAAAACTGCAGGATAGCTTTTCGTGTATCTTCTCCCTATGAAAATATTTTACTTCTCCATCTTCCCACTAAGTTCCTGAAAAAGTTGCTGTACAGCTTGAGCTTCTTTCCCATCCCCGTAGTTGATATGTAGCAATTTTGGCAGCAATTCTTTGCTTAAATGGGTTACACATTTAAAAGAAAATGCATATGCTTTCTTGGAAGAAGGCAAGGGAGAATCGAGAAGGCGAAAAAGACAGTTTACTGCTTATTTACTTTGCTCTAGATTATACTGCAAGGAATGGAATTAGTACATTTTAGACTCTTTTTCAATCTGGTTTTTTTTTTACAGCAGGTGGACAAGTACTTAGATTTGGAAGATATAGACACAGATGAAGAGATACGCAGTGGTAGGTTTTCCACCTCTTTGTATTCCCTGTCATTGTCCATCTCTGGATGCAAGCGTGTGGACATTGTTTAAAGAACTATTTCTCCTCTAAAAGAGATTTTGTTCCTCAGTTCTTCTATTGATAGGAATTTCCTCAGATTGCCCAAATTTCCCAAATTAAAGCACACTCATTTCCTAACTCTAAGAGGTAATGAGATAATAAAACAAAAACAATATTTATTATACTATGTCCAGAGAGCAGTTATTTTTTTCCCCCAACGTTTTTTCAGGATTGCAGAATGCTTCTTGTTAGCAACATTTGTACATTTTTCTGCACTTCTATTTTGCATCGAAATTATTTTGATTACAAAAGTTTCATTACAAAGTAAAGTGTGTGCTAAGAGAGTGTTCTATAAAGTGGAAATATGGGATCTCTAAGAGATAATGAGATAATAAAACAAAAAGAATATTTATTATACCATGTCCAGAGAGCAGGTATTCTTTTTCCCCCAACGTTTTTTCAGGATTGCACAATGCTTCTTGTTAGCAACATTTGTACATTTTTCTGCACTTCTATTTTGCATCGAAATTATTTTGATTACAAAAGTTTCATTACAAAGTAAAGTGTGTGCTAAGAGAGTGTTCTATAAAGTGGAAATATGGGATGAAAATGTGGTCCCTACCTATTGAAATGATTTCAGCCTGGGCTTAAAATAGATGTGACTAATTTTGAATTCACAGCGAACTTGAAGAATTCCAATTGCGAGCATTTGGAATTGTGTTGAATCGTTCCATACATCTAAAATAATTTTAACTCTCCCACCTCTAAATAGTAAATAGAAACCTAGTGTCTGTAGTTATTTGTGTAGCGTAGGTGCTCTTGTGGTCTTTATTACCAGCAGAATTGATGACATTTTAGGGACTAAATGAATTTTGCTCATCTGTACCTTTGACTGCACAAAGAAACCAAGCCGCTCAGGTTAAGGGATTTGCCAAAAGTCACTGAAAGAAGCTGTTACAGAGCAGGATTTTGGTCCTTGGTTATTGCCATTTGATTGTTCTGTCTGATCCGTTAAAGATTTGGTTACTTTTTTCTTTCTGTACATGCAGAATTCCCTGGAAGTCAGAGGCCTTAGAGACTTCCAGGTTAATATTTGGAACTTGACTATAACTCACGAGACAATAATAAACCAACGTTAAGTCGGCTTTGCCGCAAATACTCTTCCTCCAAGCTGGGCATTTCGGGGAGCAGGGAGTAAGGTCAGGTATCAGGTACAGATGCCAAAGTTTTCTTTTAAGTGCAGTGTTCATACGTGCCCATTTTTCCCTCGGTAGGACATTCTGTGCTTATGTCTCAGCTTCTGTGAAAAAAACTCTGGGGCATAGTGGTGCAAGCCTAAACCCACATTTCACTTGTGTCATCATGAAATGAGAGTCGTCTCTGTCCGGTTCATGGGAATACGGTTGGATGTCTCTAGTTCAAAACAGTCCACAAATGGGCTGGTGGGAAATAAGCCCAACACTAAAACACCAAGCAGGGAAGTGAGGAAAGAAGAAGTCTGCCAAAGCTTGGGCATGGCTTGCTGCTGTCTGGGCCATGCCAGGCCTTGCCTGTCTCCAGGCTATTCAGTCCTTGCTGTGTGTTTGTGTATGTGCAAGAGTAAATGTTAATCACATACGTTCCGAAGCCCTTAGTAAAACAGACAGCGTTTGAACAAGATGAGAATTATAAAAATGATCATCTGCTTGTACTGGCTGAACAGCCCTTTATGTGAGCCACGCTGGGGAACCCTTTCCGTTAGTGCTTTTGTTGGTGATTATAGGGATAATAAACATAACGTAACTGCTGCACATCATCAGTGTGCTAGCTCCTTGGTTTTCACATGACGTTTGGCTTGGCTTTCAGTCTCTGCTCTCCTCAGCTTTTCCCAAGAGACAGCACTCCCTGCACAGACCGCTCGGTGCAGAAAGAAACCGTAGCAACTCCTGAGCAATCAGCAGTGCTCACTAACAACATTAAGCATTTAGATGGCATTTTGGAGCATCAGAACACCGCCTAGCCAGAGGCTAGTTACTCCTTCTAAACTCTGTAAGGAAAGTGAACAGCATCCAAATTTCTATCTGGGAAACCCACAGCCTGGGTCTTGCCCAGGGCTTCTTCAGTGGAGACAGTTGTTGAGTCAAGATGAACAATTTCCCCTTGAGTCCTAAGTGCAGAAAATATAACTTACAGTTTGATAATTGTCTTACATGTCAAATTCCACTTGATTGGTTTCATAATAAGAGAGGTAAAAATCTTACTCCTGTAGAAACCATGGCAACAAAATGCAAATTAAAATATAAAATGGTGTTGCTTCTGTTGTTTGTAACAATAAATATAGAACAATATCCCTGTTCACCACCTTGGTAAAGGATTAATTCTGAAGAATTCTAGTTAGTTTAGAGGCAAAGTGTTACACAAATTTGAAAGACATCCTGTTGCTTGGCCTTTTTAAATGCTGCCACCTGTATGTCAGAAGAGTTGATATATTTCAGACTTCATTTTGGCAAAACAACCTAGGACACTCAGTAAAAAATATTATAGCTTGCTAGTATAGTTACAGCGAGCTTTCGCCTGGGCTTGGTACTGGCAGCAGTTCAGTGTCTTCATTCTGCGTTTAACTTTAAAGGGCGGATCAGTTAGCTGAGATGTACATTAATACAATAAGTAGTCACACTTAAGGGCAAGTGGCTCAGCGCTGCCAGTGTGAAAAGCCTGATGGAAAATGGGTGTTAAAATGCTTTTTGGGAGGCGTCCTGGAAGAATCATTCTAGTGGGGTTTTTATTTTTTTTTTTTTTTTGGTCCTTCTCAACTTATTTTCCCAAGTCTGGTATCTTTTAAGGTGTGAATGAATACAACTGCTTCTTATAAAAAAAAAAAATAAAAAAAAAAATGCAGCCTGTAGATTTGGCCAGTCTACAAACTCATTGTAGCTGTTTTCATCAGACAGCGCTGGGCTGAAAGCCTGAAACCGGGGTAATGCTTTGCGTTTTAGGACTTTGGCACAGTAAATCACGACTGGCAAAGTAAAACTGCTGCCCTAAACCAGAGCTTTAGTGCGTTGTGCAGAGACAGCATGTGTATGGTGGACTGTTTAATCGCTCGTTCTCACCAATTTAATCTGTAACTGTAAGTAGCTTAAGGCAACAATAGGGACAGTCAGGCTTTCTCCAGGGACAGATGGTACAACACATAGTACCTATGTGTTGGCAACTGAATTCCTTTCCAGGGCTGGTGACAAATCACTTGCTGCAGGGCTCGTAGGATACTGAGGTACTAACAGTTCATATTTTTATAGGGTACAAAATACGTAAAAGGCACATCTAGAGACCTTAAGTGTGCTATTTTTCAAATACGAGAGAAAATTAAAATAGGACTAATTAAATGTAAGGGGGAGGCTGCATAGGCAAGAATATCAGAGTGTCATCCTAATCTGGTTTGGAGCCCTGAGGTAGTGGCAACTTGGCTTTTCAAGGTCCCAGTTCTCTGTAACCCCACAGAAGTGGAGGACAACCCCGAGTGACTCATTGACTTTGAAGCTGAGACCAAGCATAACTATTTATTTAATTCATTCTGTAGGCAAATTATTTCAGTATCTGGCGTTTTCCATAATCTCTGCCTACCCGTTTATATTTTGAGCCTGTAGTTCTGTCCAGGAAAAACAGGTTAAGGAAGAGGATTCGGAATTAAATTATGTGGATTTTTTTCAAGTATGGCGCTCCTCCCAACGGGTGAATCTCTTTCTTTTCTCCTCCTCCAGTCCCTGCAATCCATTTAACACTGCCTTGGGATGATTTCACACTAGGCAGCTCTTTGGGGCTAACAGCCTGAAGCCTGAGAATCAGAGGAGATGGTGAAATTTAGCTTTTAGGCTTGTTTTGTTACCACTACCTCCCTCCTCAGCTCCCCATCAACAGCATTTTTGTGAAATGTACTGTCTGAAAGTGGTAAAACCTGTCCTAGTTTATCTCTAGCTGGCCATCATTTGGCTACGGGAAAGCTGAAGATGTAGACAAGACTGAACCTCTTCACTCTTGAAAGTTCACATTGGGTTTGTGCCAACAGGTTCTTTTTTTCCGTATTTGCAATTAATGTCGATACAATGAGCAAAAAAACCCAGCTCAGCAGTATTCACCGATTTCATAAGCACTTTGTGTGGGTCTGTGGTGTAAAGAGAAGAGAATCGCTGCGCTTCCAACTCCACCCTCATCAGAGCATGCAGGACTTGACTAAAATCACTGGAGCGCACTGCCTTATCACCCAGGAAGCTGATTCTTCGTGGTATGAGAGGTGCCTTTCAAAATCTCCTCTCAGATTTTTGATAGCACTGCCTGCTCGGTTATCTCTGTATACGATGCTGCTGGCAGTATCCAAGGCTTTCCTGTTGCTAATTAATCACCTCCACAGAGAATGTAATTAGCAGCTTAATTAGGATCATCATCCACTAGTGCTGTAGCATCAGCCTAAACCAGCTGTGAGGTACTGGCTAGAACTTACAATAGCCTCCAGTTCCTTTGGGAGCTCCCACTGAGAAGGAGAACTGTCAAAACTCCCTAATTTTTCTCTCTGAAGGAGTTTCTTGATTAAACGTTATCAGGGAAAGCAGCATTTACCGATTAGACTTTCATACGCTGTCACGCAGCCAGGATAGAGAGACAAAGATCATTTCTGGCATGTCTGCTGGCAAACAAAGGTCGATTACCACATCCTTATGGGGTGATTGAAGGGAATTTGAAACATTGTTTGCATTACTAAAGAGCCTTAAAATAGTGGAATTGACATTCTGAGTATGACAAGCACTTCTTGCTAAAAGCAAAAATAAATTTCCTTCTGTTGTCCTAATTTTGAAGAGTTGTCTTTCTGAGCCGTTGCCAGACTGTTGCATAACAGTGCTTCCTCCTCATCTTCTCTCTGCAGATTGGTCTGCTGAGGTAGGGGGAAGCTCTTAGTACAGAAACAATCACTGTTTATATCAGGAGGTGATACAAACCTCCTGATGTCCAGGCTTTCCTTCCTTCCGTGAGAGTATCTATTTAGGGTGAGAGTTTGAAACAGTAGTGGAAGATGCCCTTGCCTTTAGATGAGTATTCAGAGTTTCCTTCTTTCCTATAAATAGTTTTGACCGAAGTTAAGAAAAATGGAAAAAAGCGGTTGCAGAGCATGGGAAGACACAGCGTATATACCTGGGGACTGCACTGTTCTTCTCAGAAAGCTTTCTCACACAACTAATAGGATCACAGACTGGGTTGGGCTGGAAGAGACCTCAAAGACCATCTCGTTCCAACCCCCCTGCCCTGGGCAGGGACCCCTCCCGCCAGCCCAGGTTGTTCCAAGCCCCGTCCAACCTGGCCTTGGGCACTGCCAGGGAGGGGCTACCGCAGCTTCCCTGGGCAACCTGTGCCAAGTTCTCCCCGTCATCACAGAAAATAATTTCTACCTAACATCTCATCTAAAACTACCCTATTTCAGTCTGAAACCATTACCCCTTGTCCTGTCCCTACACTCCCTGATAAAGAGCCCCTCACCAGCTTCCCTGTAGCCCCCGTTAAGCACTGGGAGGCCACTATAAGGTCTCCCCAAAGCCTTCTCCTAACCCTCTCAGCCTCTCCTCTAGGAGAGGTCCTCCAGCCCTCTCGTCATCTTCATGGCCTCCTCTGGACTTACTCTCACAGGTCCATGTCTTTCTTATCCTGGAGGCCCCAGAGGTGGACACAGAACTGCAGGTGGGGTCTCACCGGGGCAGAGAAGGAGAATCACCTCCCTTGACCTGCTGGCCACAGTTTTTTGGATGCGGCCCAGGATGCGATTGGCTCTCTGAGCGAGTTCACATTACTGGCTCAGCAATGCAGAATCAGGCCAGGTGCTATGCTGAGAACAAGTACTGAGGGCACATGGGTAGCTAGAGATAGATATAAGCAAGCAAGAGAATAGGGATGAAAACTGGAAACCACTTACGTGTGAATCATGAGCCAAAAGACAAAAATCCAGGAGTGAGATACCCAAGGGAATGAATTCAGCTCTTTTTAAAAGAATATTTCCACTTTGCAAGTCCTGCTGGATTTGAAATAGTGCACAATTCCCAGAAGAAAACTAAATGAAGAATTCAATTGTGGATTTTTTATGAAGGTTTAGCTAGGAAATTATTATTTTCAAATGCAGATTTGCAGGAGATTGAGAGGTCTGTAACTCCGCTACTGTGGTAAAAGTGTGCAGGCAGAGATAAATAGCCACTTCTTCCTTTTCACCCTGGATTTATGTGCCCTCTCTTTGGTTCCCTTAACTAACACTGAAGCAATGCTTTAAAAATTTATTCAGAGATTTCAAGAGGAAATCAAGCTACTGAAATGAAGTAGGTAGCTGTAAAGAAACTTGCGTATCAGCCAGAAAAAAAGAAATCGTAGGTAGCTTTACATAATCCTTCGACTAAATTACCAGACATATGGTTCCCTTAAGTTCCTTCATAAAAACATGACTGAGACAAGATGGACACATCTGCGCTGCAGCAGAGCTCAGACTGATTCATGTTAAAAGATATTTCTAAACCCAAGGCATATCCTTCAGAGCTGTCACAGAAAGCAAACCCACTGTTCCCAGTATGAATGTCTTGCTTAAGTACGTAAAGGAAAAGTGATTCAGAAAGCCTGTGCATCCCAAGATTCTTTATGCCCGGTGTACAGGTGGTGAAACTCTAGCAAAAGGGGGTTTAATGAGACTGCCCGATCAATGGCAAGACCAGGATTCAGTCTGGTGGTTTAGAAGTCCCACAGTAGACACCTCTGCTCAGGGCATTTCTTCTTTTTTATGAAAGAGACTGATCTAATCCCAGATTTTCTCTGAGTTTACGAGCATCTATGTCCGGATTTTTAGTCCAGTGTCTTGAAGAAAGAAGAGCTCCCTGTCTGTTTTCAACCAAGTTTGATTTTTCCTTAGCAGAGTATATTTTATCATCTAGATTTTAGCTCAGGACTGTTTTAAAGATAGCTGCCTCTATTATACATTATACAAAAGTAAGTACAGCACACTTTGACTAAGAAGCTTCTGCCTGTGTCTGAGCACTGCAGGATTTGACACAGGGTTTTGCTAATTTATATCTTGAACGGAAGGTTAAAGTTGACTGTTTTTTATTCAGCAGAGTCATTAGTGCTCCCAGGAGAGGTGGAACAGACAGTGACTCACTGCACACCCGTTTTTGATAAGCCTGTTCAACTGAAATTGAGAACCTTGCCAGTTCCACAGCCGTCGGACAGCAAAGCTCAAGAGGTATGAGGTCCGATTTATTTCTTTAGATATCGGGGCTTCAGGGTGGTTTTTTTTTTACCTGTTGGGTTCTGACGTTATTTCCACAAGAACAGAGGGGTATAGATGGAGTGCGTGGAACTGCTATGAGTTAACAAATCACATTATTAATCTTTAAAGTAATAATGAGTTCTCAAATACATTGAGAATTGAGATAAACGCTCTGACAGAAAGGTACTGTTTTATCTTGCACATGGCTACTCTTCTGTCCTACGTTTTCAAAATGTGCACTTCCATACTTCGAACTGTGTGTGGACTTTTTAATATTTAATTGGTGTCATGGAATATTCAAGGAAACTCTTGCACTTCCTGACCTTGTAGCAACTCCTTACCAATGCAGAGTGACGGGCCGTTTAATTTTCCAGTGATTCCATGATCTTACAACATCCTGCAGTTCTCATTGGACTGAACATAGGAACCATCTTCTGCAGCAAGGATGTAGCAAATGATCCCTTTAACGTGACCTTTAAAAGAGAGAAAAGGTTTTTGATCAGAGCCAGGATTTGTCCTCTTGGAAATAAGTAGCAGCAAGATGCCGCTGAGGATCTGCGTTGTCTAGTTCTGGTGTGAAAGGTTTGTGTTGTGGAGCCTGAGTGTTTTAATCAGACACAATCAATGCAAGCTTTAATTTAGAACTGCCATTTTCTCTCAGAATTTCAGTTCTTTTCAAACTGGAACAGAAGGTGTGGGTTGCTCACAGGCTTATTTTAAGCCATTAAGCTTCCTATCCAAATAGCCAGTGTGAGCATTAACTTTTGAGGATGTTTCTGTTGCAGAGAATTGCTCACCGCTCTTTC